TTGTATGTTTAAAACGGCAGATAAAGTTACGTGACCTTAAATGTCTTCGGCATTTTCACATAGTCTCTATGTGAAAATCTCTCTATTTGTCTCTAGTTTGAGTAACATAGGGATTCACCTGATCAGGTGACAAATCTAATGGTTGCTCCCGTCATTAACATGAATCCATAATAAATAAAATGTACATGTATGTTATGGACACTGATATGACTTCCTCTTATTTAGTGCAAATTCTTTAATTCCTCTTTGTAATCATTCTGTGTTTTATTTTTCATATTTGTTACATTATTTAACTATATTATTTCTGATATTAAATGTCGTACTAATGAAAACTGGAACCTAGGTCTAGACTTAAAAAATCATATGTATATCACTTCAACACATCAACAAGAAGTTGTGTTCGCATTTTGAAACAAAAACAGGAAGAATTAAACTACCTTAAATATCTTCGATATTTCCGTAAACAATGCATTTTAATCAACTAGACAGATTCAAATCGAGTCCCTCATGATTAAACTAAAAATATAAATCTAAGTTATAGTTGGTTCTCAAAAACCTGAGACGATAAGACCGCGACATAGACTCCAAGTAGCTGGTACCAAAGAATACACCAACGACGCGCGACGTTGGTGTATTCTTTGCTGGTACGAACTTTAAAAATCAGCATCGTAACAGCCGGAATTATAGAATAAATATGACTATATTCTGCCGAATAAGGAAAGAAGACGTTATTTTCTCTATGTAATAAATACGTCAATAATTTGGGAATTATGCGCCTGCTTCCAAATAGTGTGCCTGATTAGACTTTATATGAATTGAAACATGTTATAGGTGGTTGAAAACAGGTGCATAAATCCTATTGTTTTGTGTTATTATGATTGGGAGTAAACATTAGGAGCGATTATAAACCTGATAATAGTAATGTGAATATGAAAAAAAGTGGTATTTGTAAGATATGAAGAATTAAAGAAATGAGTACAACGAATAAATCACCCTGTAAATTAATTATAAAGAACATAAGCCCCAATAAATAGAGGTTATTTTGAAACCATCTGTTCGGTATCATATCAGATAAAAAATACTTGTAGTGTACCTAGGTATAAAAAAGTGGTAAATAAAACAATAACACTGTATCTTGGTTATAAAAAACTGAGACTCATGAAATATAAAATATGTTCTTTGGAAACACTTCGGTGTTCCGTGTACCTCTAGCGTATAAGTATTTCCCAACGAATCACCCTTTATGACAGGGATTAAATTTCTATGAAAATATTCACCACAAATGGTGAGTAATAATTTTCATATAAATAATTAATGAAACCAAAAAGTAAGACGATCGAAAATGAAATTAGATATTACTAAGATTCCAATTCTAAATTTTAATATTTATCGCTTTATGGGGTAACGACGGACAGATTAAAATTAAGATAGACTCCTTGTGACATGACAGGCACCGTACGAAATATTTACTTAAAATATCAATAATACGATTTACTCACTTACCTGAACAAGTAGCAAGTTGAACCATTAACTGGCTTCTTGACGTCATTTCGGAGGACACAGCGAACTGTTTATAACCAAACACCATCAAATCAAAAGCAAAATTGAAACTTGTTCTTGTTATGACTACTGAAGAAGGTTGTCTAAATAGAATTAGACGTTGCCAATTCTTGGAGGAAAGAACACGCCTTATATATAGCGGAGGACATTTCGCATTGTACGTATCCGATTAATATATCCTTTTATAACGACGCTAGCGCCAAACTTATATGCTCAAACTAAAACCGTAATTTAGGAACGTAAGGGTGTCGTACTTACCTCAAAAAAAATTTTTGTTAATGGACTTGTACGTCATCAGTGATAATGCATGCGAAAGGAAATGGGCAAAACGTTGTGTCCTCCGAAATCGGAGGTAACTACGTTATATATGAGGAGAAAACGTATACTGATTATCCGGAAATGAGGTCACAACGTACCTTGTATAAATATATATATATATATATATATATATATATATATATATATATATATATATATATATTATATATATATATATATATATATATATATATTATATATATATATATATGATATAGTTTTATAATGTAATATAGTTTAGTGATATAATTTTACAATTTAGTGACATTTCATAATTTTAAAATAGGGAGCTTTTGGCCAGATTCCTTTTAACGAATTTCTTTATGCTTATGGTTAACTTTACCTTTAATAAAAGTAACCATGCGTCTGTTAAATATAGTGCTTTTGGACGTCAAAAATAACATTTGGCGCTAACTATAACCTTACTTTTTTTATTTGTTATGGTATTTTAATATAAATGGTCTCTTTGTTTCTTTCTTTGAAATTATAGAAGTTTTTGTTTATTTTAATTGTAGAGGTATTTGCTTATTTTTTCTGAGAAAATTATGGGCGAAAATATTGACCTTGTAATCCATAGAGGTGTAGATGAACGTGCAAATATCAATTTAATTAGACAATTGATATTGCGGGATATTTTTGGAGAAGTTGCGGAAAATCAAGTGGTGCATCTTCAAAGGCCTGACTTTAATTTGGAGAATTGGTCAGAGGAAAATTGCTTGAGTCATTTTAGATTTTAGAAGGAAGGTATTACTCGCCTATCTCATGCATTAGGGATACCTGACAACATATCCACTAGATCTGGGCATAAGGCTACAGGTAGATATACTCTAAGGGCTCTAATAAATAAAAAATTAAGTTAACTATATTGAAATCTGTGCACTTTCATATAAAAAATATTGTAGAAATAATGTGACCATGAGGGGTAATAAGTACTAGCACATATTAAATAACAGATGTGTTATTTATTCCGTGGTACTGGTTAACAACTGGCAGTTTTAGGGAGCCATCGCCTGTCTTTGTTCCGAAACTAACTTACACATTAAATACAACCTACTTTTTATAAAAATACATTTTGCTGCAAAAAGTAACTCTAATGCTTAAAAATATCAATTTTTAAATGTCTCCTGCCTTTCACATTTTCTAAAACCGCCTCTGTTAGTAATTTGTACACATAGGTATTTCTGTAATTTGATGTAAACATACATAGCTAATGCAAGGAATTATTACCCTTTGTGTTGATTTGGAAGTAACTAAACTAACACTTAGTATCTTTTTCTATCACTTGTATTTTATTAACAGTTAAAAGGTTTAGTGGATGGTTTCATTGTAATTATCTATTAATTTTTTATTTCATTAATGATTAACATTTTTTAGGAATAGAGGCCTTATGTATATTATTAAAGACGTTGACATATCCAAACAGATATGAAGATATAAAAAAATTTTTTGGTGATCGTAGTCCATCAGCTCTTTCAGAAATAACAAATTTTATGATCAGCTTTATAATGCAAAATTTTAACCACTTATTAGAAGACCTGAATGCACACCAATGGCTCAATGAAGAAAAGTTGACTGAATATAGTCAAGTAAGTAGGTATCTATTGATTGCAATTTTGAGATTGACTAGACAGGTTACAAAACCGATGGTTATGTATTCAAAAGATAAAATTTGTTGGTTTCATTTTTGTAGAAAAAAAAATACAGGAAACCCAAAATATTTACAATCACAACAATTTAATATTTTTAACTGTACTTCATTGTGTAACTTAAATACCCATTTTCCACAACTTCCACTATTTTTTTATCACCTTTAACTATCGTAAAGTTTTTACTTTTGTAGGCTTAGAGGTTTTTGCAAAATTGTAGTATTATATAAGTTGTAAATATATGACATGTAATATTTAATTATATATGTAACGTTTTAGGCTGTTGCTGCCACAGGTGCCGCAGTTCAAAATTGTTGGGCATTTTTGGATGGGACAATTCGGCCTATCAGTAGACCAACAGCTCTACTATTCTGGCCACAAAAGGGTTCACTGCTTAAAATACCAAAGCCTGGTGACTCCTGATGGGATAACAGTTAGCTGTATTGGTCCATTTAAAGGAAGGAGGCATGATGCTGGGATGTTGCGGGACAGTGGATTATATAACCAACTACAACAAAAGACTGTGTTCCCTAGGCATAATTTTGTTGTTTATGGAGACCAGGCCCATGGAGTACGGGAGCTACTCCTTTCCCCATTTCCTGGAATTGGTTTAAATGTTGCACAGCAGCCCTTTAATAATACAATGAAGAGTGTCCGTGAGGCAGTGGAATGGTCATTTGGAAAAGTGGTTAATATATATGCATTTGTTGACTTTAAAAAGAATCAAAAGCTTCTTCTACAAGATTTAGAAGGTTTTTATAAGACAGCCACAATTTTGAGTAACTGCCACTATGGCAATCAAACTGCTCAATATTTTAATATAGAGCCAATTGATTTAGAGCTTTATTTAAATGGTCTATTGTAGATTTTGACAACTTTGTTAAATAAAATAAGTTTTATTGTAAAATATATTTAATACAAAATAAATATTAAAGAAATTTATTTGCAGTAAATCACAATGTTTTATTTTTTATAACATTAACTGTTTCTATCTAAAAGTAGAAATATGTTAACTAACTATGATATTTTAACTTATCTTATTATAAATATTAGGTGAAAAAATGAACCATAAATTTTGTACAAATTTTGTACTTATCTACACTATCACACAAAATATAAATACTTATGAGTTAACTTAGTAATAGTTAAAAGTTTTTGATGTGGATTTAAATTTTAATCAAACTCATACAAAACTACCTTTTATCACATTATTAATCAGTCCTTAAGTTACAATGAAATATGGATAATAAGACAGTCATCAAAAGCGCACAACGCAAACATACCTATAGGTACACTTTACCATTTATAATATAGTGGTGTATATAAAACTATTGTTTAGAAATAACAAAATGAATAATTTGTTCTTGGTTGTCAATAATTTGTTTAAAACTTTTAAGTGTGTCTTCCAATACACTTAAAACTTTATTTCTTTCATTGTGTATTCGTGTTAACTTTTTTTCTTCTAAATCTAGTCGCCTATTCTCCAATAGTAGTTTGTTTTCTTCCAATAGTTTGTCTTCTTTCTTCCAGTTGGAATTCTTTTTTCTTTATTTCATTTTGATGTTCATCAAAATTCTGTTGGTAGGCCAATCCTTGCTTTTGCATGCTAGTTCGTCTTACTCCATTCTTGTTTCTTTCTAAAAGGAAATAAGATATACTGAAAGATTTATGGTAATTTAACAGGTTCCAGCAGTAAATATGGTCAATAAAAACTATATCTTTACAGATATGTAGTTCTATTTAAAGAGAAATGTCATTTCCCAACCTTAAATTTAACACAGATTTGTTTACTGGGGTAAATTTGAACCTTAATTCTGCAGATCAAAAAAATTATTTCATTCTTTCTTACATACACTTTAGTTTGTTGATTACGATTTAATTGTAAATAAGTTTTTTATTGAAATTTGTGACATATTGTTTAACAGACATACTTACGAATAATATTGTTCTTTCCACGAGTGTATGATTCACTCTTCACCTTTTTTGAAATACCACTTGTAGTTGGTGTAAGAAGATTTTTTGATAATATATTGTTATCATTAGCTTGATCTGAAACAAATGTTTCGTAAATTAAATTTCTAGGTAGCAAACAAAATATAGTAAGAAAAATAGAAATAAATTATCTACTGACAGGCACACAGATATTTTTATGAAAATTGTCCCAAATCACTCTTAATAAATAGTTGTTTAAAAGTGATGGCAATCGGAATTTTAAAACAATTTCAAGTTTTTCCATACTATTGTTTATATAAAAAGAAACTGCATTCAAAAGTATGCCAAGATAACCATTGGCCTAATGAGCTAGTACTTAAGGCTGTTCTGCGTTTCATCCATGCAAGCATATATAAAACAGTTGAAGAACATTTAGGCGAGATATAATTTGGCTTTAGGAATGGCTTCAGTATATAAGAGGCGCTGTTTGGGTTGCAGGTATTAGTACAAAGAAGCAGTTATTAGTACAAAGAAGTACAAAGATATGTAAATGTGGATTTGTTCTTATATTTTCTTGATTTCGAGAAAGCATTTGACAAGGATCTGAAAATTATTGCCAACTTTCAACTAGGACATTCAAATTCAACTTGGAGTGAGACAGGAATCCATTCTTTTGCCTTTACTTTTTAACATTTATTCAGAATAGAGTTTGAGCAATATACAAGGTGGAATTGTAATAAATGGGCAACCAATAAATAATCTTAGATATACAGAATACATAATATTGATTGCCAGTAGTGATAGTGAATTACAGTACCTATTGGATTATGTTGTAGAACAGTGCAATAATTATGGGCTATACTTTAACATCATAAAACAAAGTATATGATCATCAGTAAGAACTGTCATTTATGCTGAGAAGAGAGTAGAAGCTATAACATACTTTATTGAATATTCAATATTAGCATATTTAATTGAATTATGGTGCTGTCGAAGAATGCTAAACAATTTTCAGATATGTTGCAAACAAACTTATTATAGCCAACATGATCGCTAATGTTCGATAAATGAACATAGCATGCAAAGACGAAGTATTCATAAAAGAGCAAAAATACTAACCTATACTTGCATACATATGGTCAGGTAAGACACTGCCAGTGGTCTCTTCTTCCTCTACTTGTGGAATGTTTTCCACTTCAATGCACATATCTTCTACCTCAAGATAATTAGAACTATTATTCTCCTTATTGAAATGTATGTAGCTCTGATTGGCCCAAAAGTCACGTTTTTCTATACCTTTATTTTTCTTTTGCTTTTCTGACTTTTTCCTTCTAAACTCGATCATAAGGCAATGAATATTTTGACAGAGGCTGTCTTTTTCTGTGTGTTCTTCTTCTATTCCAGATCTAAAATATACATAAAAAATCAATTATATACCTTCTCTAACATAATCTGTATTATAAATCTTGATTCTTGATATATAATCTGTAATAATTTATATATATATATATATATATATATATATATATATATATATATATATATATATATATATATATATATATATATATATATACAGATTGAACGAAATAAATTCGGAACATAGGAATATAATGTATTTCGGCTCAATTCTGCTGTAAGTGGTTGGCCAACAAAAGATTGTCAAATAATTACATTATAAAAGTCCCACACTTCAGCGGGCTGCTGGATTCTGAACTCATAAAAATTGAAAGCTACACATAAATCTACGATTTTATTATGCTGTCAAACCAGTTATAGCCCAGGAAATGAAGCATTTCACCTCGCAATTTTTTCGTGCTGCGTGAATTGACTTGCAATTTAACAGAAGGTAATAGCCTAAGGATCAAAATCTAATCGAACCAAAGTGCGCCAAAGCCTAGGGGGTGGTTGCCACCCCATCTCCGGGGTGAAATTTTTTTACGTTTTAACTACAGGTTTCGATTAAAAAAGTGATTCTAAACAAAAAATGTGCTATACATTTTTTTTTAAAATGATATTTTTCAAGTTATTCGCGATTGAAAGTAACAACTTTTAGACGAAAAAATCCACGTTTTTAATCGATTTTTCGCGAATAACTCGAAAATGGTGTATTTTATCAAAAAATTGTAGAGAACAAATTTGTAGCTTTTAAAAAGACAAATACAATTCATTTTTTAAAATATTTTTGCGATATAATAGGAACCGAATACGGCCTATCAATGTTCAGCGGTTTTCTTCAAATGCCAAATTTGAAAGATTCAAAGTCAAATATCGGGAAAATGATGCATTTTTGGAAGAAAACTCACAAAACCTTTTTTAAAGAGCGTAAATAGACCTATCATAAAAAAAGACTCTAGCTCAAAAATTGAGATGAGTTATGATGAAAATAAGGTCAATACCTCATTTTTACGAAAAAATCGATGAAAACAACCCCCTAACCACCCCCATAATTAAAATCGATCTTCACCCTTCTGCAATTCCCTTTGTACATATATTGTTAATACGTCCAAGAAGTTTGACCCATTTAAAATGCTTAGTTATCGAAAAAGTACAGCTTAAAGCGAGAAACGATTTACAATTTCATATTTTTTGCCCTTCTTTTTTTAAATATGCCCGAAAACACTGAATATATGAAAAAAATAAAAATTACCAAATTTTTCGAGCCCTTTAAACTCACCCCATTTAAAAACCAAGGGTTCCAAAAAGATTTAATTCACAGGTTCTTGTAGCTCTTAAAAACCCCTACAAATCGTTTTTGAAGAAACACTCTATCGTTAAAAATTAAAGGGAATACGTTAAAAAAAAACCAGTTAATTTTTTTTCGGAAAATTCCATTAGTATAGTACAGTACATTTCGGAGCATAATAATCTACAGAACCGGTATATTAGCTAGTATGGCGTTATACATTCGAAATTTTAAGCGTTCTTATTTTGAAATCCCATACAACAGAATCAAACATCTGCTCATATGTCTAGGGCTTGGCAATGAAAATATCAGAGCAACAGATTGGGGATGGTATTCCAAAGATGGTTTGGTATTACCCGTACGCATGAACAAACAACCTGCACCCGATGAACTTTTGAAAATTATTTTTTGCCAATGCAAAAAAGGATACGGCGTTTCATGTGGGTGCAGAAAAGTTGGTTTATACTGTAACTCTACTTGTTCTGGGTGCTCAGGTGAAGGGTGCAATAACAGTCCACCAATAATTGAAGAAGATGTGGATGACATAGATCACGATGAAGATGTAATTGATGACGAATAAAATTAATATTATAATTGTTTTACCTATAAATGTAAATATTTTCAACTATTTATGTAAATGTATAAGAATATATGGTGCATTTTTATGTTGATAAATTTTTTGTATTTAATTCTACTTTTTTCAATTTATATCTTATAAATTAGTTTATAAAAACTGCAATGTTGTAAAGGGTGATTTTGAAAAGTTGCAAAATTTTGGCAAAAAATTGTTTTCACCTATAGCACTCATAACATTTGATTTTTAAGGGTTGAAAATGTATGAATTTGTATTTTAAAGTATAAAAAAATCACTATTTAACTAATCCAAACCAAATTTCACTCATCTTAAGATTTGTAATATTATTTTACAATTTTTGAAAATTAGGGGTAGTTTTCACCCCTAAGAACAATCAGGGTTCATCGGCATGACATAAACTATAAAGCAGAGGGTGAGTTTAGCTTAATTCCAAATTTTTATGCAAATCATTCCAAGGTGAAATCATTTTCTTCGCATTACTAATTTTTTTATATTAATCTCTAATAAGGGTCGCTTTTTAAGGGTTGAAATATGATGGAACTTTATTCAAAAGCACGAAACTATAATTATTTAATTAATTCAAACCAAATTTTACCCATATTCAGGTTTAATATGTTATTTTATAATTTTTGACAATTAGGGGTAGTTTTCACCCCTAAGAACAATCAGGGTTCGTCGACATGACATAAACTATAAAGCAGCAGGTAAATTGAGCTTAAATCCAAATTTTTATTCAAATCGATCCAAGGCGAAATCATTTTTTTAGAATTAGTAATTTTTTTACATTAATAAAAAATAATTTATACAAAGTATAAAATATTCATTATTTAACTAATTCAAACCAAATCTTACCCATATTCAGGTTTAATATGTTATTTTATCATTTTTGACAATTAGGGGTAGTTTTCACCCCTAAAACCCTTCAGCGCACTTCGATTCGATATAGATTTTGATCCTTGGGCTATCACCTACCTTCTGCTAAAATTTCAACTGGATACATGCAGGACGAAAAAATTGCGAGGTTTTAACTTTTTTCGAGCTTCATTTTCTGAACTATCTTCCTTAGACAAACCCGTCTTATGCAAACAACTTTGTTGCGAGACAGATAGTTGAACGATATTTTATACAATGTCTATACCCAGGTATGAATTTATTTTTGTCCAAGTTTTCTATTGGTCCACTATTTCAAATGCAGTTCAAACAGACATGTATTATATTGTATGTTCCGTTTTAATTTGGTTCAATCTGTATATATATATATATATATATATATATATATATATATATATATATTATATATATAATTCATTCCTAGGACCAGCTTAGCAACACCTGTGATTGTAATAAACAGGTCTTTACAGGCCCTATCAGTATTTATTAAATTGGTGTAGGTCGCCAATAAAATAGCATTAAATTTTGCTGATATTCCCTTATGTATGATAAATGTGTATACACAGAAAATTGTTTGGACCAATCCAAACAATTTTCTGTCTGAAAATAATCACTTTCAAGTAAAAAAATACTCACCTATCTTTAAATATCTTTGCCTTTTCCAGCCAAATTTGTATCAGCAGATCCAGATGGTCTTTTAAAGTTTTAATTAGGAATTTTTTTCCTGTAGCAGAGAAAATATGCTCCTGTATAACCACCCATAATTGAGGATTTTCAAATGGGTTGAGTCCAACGACTTCCCTCAGAAGAGCTAAATCATCTTCATCTCGAAACCTTAGTCTTTTCTTCTTTGGAAGTTCACTCATGGTTTCTTAGAGTCTATATAAAATGTGGGTAATTAGTAAGTAATTAGTAATTAACGACCTTAATTTATTGTTTTTGAAGTTTACATGTTATTTGGAAGGGTGTAAAATATCAAGGGGTCTTTTAATGTTCACAATAGGTATATTATGGTCAAATTTTCAGTATTATTTTGTATATGTCGGTAAAGAGAGAGCAAAAGCAATGAACGTCAGTGAAGGCAAACAATAAGTTTATAAAACGGCCTTAAAAATACAGTAATGCTTTAATCCTGACGCACAGGAACTCAATCACTATTATATTTTTAATGACTCACACTGTAGGTACCCAGTTAATATTGTTAAAGATTACGTACTTACTTTGAAATAAAAAAACGCTAAAACTTAAAACCTTCCCAAATTTCACAGTGAACACGAATCGAATATTTACTACTTATCTACACCAACTGGTGAACAGCTGTTCATCTACAACAAAAATTCTAACCTTAAAATTTCCAACCAATCACAAACAAGAAAAATAACGATAACCATTACTCTTATATCGCTGTAATTACCGCCAGTCCTTATGTTTAATAACGACAACGGCTAGCCAAATCGCAACTGCGCAGACGTCAAATAAACATAACGTTAACGAAGTGTCAGAAAGTAGACACTTTAAGTTGGTGACAATACGTAGACGTTAACGTACACGTAGTGGTGAAATTTTAGCGTTTCCCCTTCTCATCAAATATCAGTTTAAGTTGATGGACTAAACGTTAACGTTAACGTATACGTAATTTTACCTTAACCTTACTTTTGAAAATATAAAAAAAAACAGACAGGAACTACCAAATAGTGTTTTGCTTCTAATAAGGTTCAATTTAGAATGGATGATATTTTGGATATGGCACTTCTTGATTCTGAGTCAGATGATGATGATTTGGATGAACTTCTTTTATTAAATTTCTTTAATGACAACTTGGGACGTAGAGCTGATCTTTATGGACGTTTTGCCTTGGAGAACATGTCTGAAATAGAAGCAAAATCATTCTTTCGCTTTGAAAAACAGCACATTCCCGAATTATCAGCCGCTTTAGGAATACCAGATGAAGTTAGAACTTCAGAAAATATTGTTTTATCAGGTAATTTAATAGCAATTATGGCAGAATTGAAATAATTATATTTTTTATTAGGTGTACATGCATTATGTATCCTTCTTCGAAGGCTTACTTATCCAAACAGACTAGTAGATCTCGAAGCTTTCTTTGGCTATTCATATGCAGCTCTTTCAAGCATCATTAATACTATTACTCAAATCATAATTGATAATAAGGGACATTTATTACAAAATTTGGGTAACAATACTTGGTTTAATGAGGAGAAGTTAATACAATATTCTCAGGTATATATTCACCTAAAATTTTTTATAAATTCTATTAATAAGAAAAACAAAATAGTAATCCTTATTTGTTTTTTAGGCAATACAACTCAAAGGAGCTCCTATGAATAATTTATGGGCTTTTATAGATGGAACTGTAAGACCAATATGTAGGCCTAGTATTAATCAAAGACATTATTATTCAGGACATAAGCGGACACACTGTGTGAAATACCAATCACTGTTATGTCCTGATGGAATTATTTTAAGTTTAAAGGGTGCATATCCTGGAGCTCGGCATGATGCAGGAATTTTCAGAGAGTCTGATTTATATACTGAATTAGAACAAAATACAGTTTTTGGTGCCCATAATTATGTAATATATGGTGATCAAGGCTATGGTCTCAGAGAGCTGTTAATTAGACCTTTTACCCGGAATGAAATTGCCATAAATCCTGATAGGCAACAATTTAATAATATTATGAGCACATTAAGGGTTTCTGTGGAGTGGGGATTTAATAAAATAACAAAAGAATTTGCATTTTTAGATTTTAAGAAAAATCAAAGACTTTTATTACAGGAAGTGGGAACAATGTATGCAGTGGGGACGATACTAGCCAATAGTCATACATGTCTTTATGGCAGTCAACAGAGTACGTATTTTAATGTTCCACCCCCCCATCTTCAGGAATACTTAGGATAGGAAATGTATATAAGTGTAGTCTGTATAAATCTCAAGTTTAATTTAATTTTCCAACAAATTTGGAAAAGATTGTATAAATTACAATGGCACACGTACATAAAATATGTTACCATCTCATTTAAAAAGAGAAAGAGATTTAAAGAAAATCTAAAACATATTTTTAAATAAGCATTTTTTCATCTTTAACCATTTTTTTTTAATTTAATCTAAATATTTTGTTTTTTTTATACCTAAGTTATTTTGTATTTTTTATTTATAGTCACTTATAAACACTTGTGTTTCTTGGGGTTAATATACTACTACTACTGTTATAAAATATATTCATTTTATGAAGTTTATAATAATTTGTGAGAACCTACCCTACCTGTTCCTAATTAAATAAAAATATACAATAGCAATAATTTATTTAGCTTAAGAAAATCTATCTAAAATAATTTTCATTAGTTCCTGCTGATTTTTAAAAACTTCTAATTGGACATTTAGCCGTTTTTCATCTATTACTAGTCTACGTTCTTCCAACTCCATTTTCTTCCAATGTTTGTCTTCTTTCTGCAAGAGCCAGTTCCCTACTTCTTAGTTCTACCTGCCTATCATTTTTTTTTGATAAATACTGTACAGTAGACTCCCTTATGTTTGTAGACGTACGTTTACGGACTGAAGGTGCTAAAATCCAATAAACATATCAAAGATGTAAATATGTAGCTTCGATTTTGATCGAACAGTTAAATTACTTACATAAAATATTTGCCTGAGCTAATGATCTCTTTCTAGGGAGTTTGCCCTTTTTGGCATCATTTCCCACATCAGCAGTACTATTCAGTTGTGGCTGATATTCAACATCGTCTGCCACACTTGCACTGTCAATTTCTATGTTTTCACCTACATCTTCAATACTGGTGTCGGTATTGCCTAAAAACAACATACACAATGAATATTTAATAAGTTAAGTTATGTACTCCACAATACATTACTACCAAATATACCTACCTTTTTGCATGTGTGAAACTGATATTTCCCTGGCTTCAAAACCAAGCTGGAAACTAGATTTAACTGCCTCTGTAACTTTGGAGCCATCATGTACAGTTTCGTTAGGTTTCTTCTGGTTTTTGAACTCTTTAATTAGTTCAATGATTTGTTGGATTAGATCATCTAGTTCTGTAACAGATTCTTCAATGCCTGATCTGAAAGTTACAAATCAATCTAAAATTAAAAACATATTTTCAGCATAAAAATATGTTTTTAAGAAAAAGAAAGACCACTTACTGTCCCTCGGTTAACTTAGTTTTTGATACATGTTTCTTGATCAGATTCTGGATTCTGTCTTTTAGGGTGCGAACAGATATTGATTTGCCAGTAATCTGAAGCATATTCACTTGAATAAGACACCATCTTCTTTGGTCTTCATATGGATTCTGACCAAAAATTTCTCTGGCCAAATGCAGATCAAATTCGTCGGTAAATCTGAATCTGGTTTTAGTAATTTCCTCCATGATATATAAAATAACAAATAAAACACTAAATTACTGTACACTAAAATTATTAATAACACTTTGGTATAACCAAGTATAACCTGTATAACTAAATTTTCGGAAAACGAAGAAGAATTATTTTGCTCCGGCAGTTATCGTTTCGTTTCGGAGCACTTCGTCTAGCGTTATACGGGCACGTAGAGGTCCGTAAAATAACGTAAACACGCAAAACGTTAACGTGAAAGCAATCGATGTGAGCATGCGTAATTGTCAATATAACGTTTACGTTAACGTATGAAAGTCTAACTTAAAGTGTCTAGTAATGACCAAAAACTCCCTAATATTGTATATGATATAGTTTTATAATGTAATATAGTTTAGTGATATAATTTTACAATTTAGTGACATTTCATAATTTTAAAATATTGTATATGATAGTTTTATAATCTAATATAGCTTAGTTCTTTTATAAGCTTAAATAAAAATGTTTATTGACAGTTTATTTTATAATTAAAATAATCAATAAAAATATACATACATACATACATACATATATATATATATATATATATATATATATATATATTATATATATATATATATATATATATATATATATTAATCACTACCAACTTTGTGTTATAACATTTATAATAAAACTGTTTATGATCAGTTCATTTCATAATTATAACAAATATATAATAAACTAGTTTAAAATATATTATAAAGTGATCAAAAAGTTTTCAAAACCCTCAGAGAATATGAAGAAATGTTATTGCTACTAACTTTGTTTTATAAAATTGTTAAATATAAATATTTATAATAAATTACTATAAACATAAATCATGTATGTTACAATTAATACCAAAAATGACACAAAACTAACAAAATAGAAGTATATTACAATCTGTCCCAGAAGTTTTGAAAACCCTTAGAGAATATGGAGAAATATTATTGCTGCAAATTTTCTGTTATAAAATAAAAATATATTTGAGCAGTATATGTCCCAATTTTAAGATATAATTTTATAATCAATATATTTTTAAATAAAAAAATACATAAATCTTGTATGTTACAATTAATTGCAATAAGGTCAAAAGAAATGAATATAAAATATACTACAAAGTGGTCCAAAGTTGTTAAAACCCTTAGAAAATTAAAACATACAAGAATACAATTATAAAAATTAAAACAAATCTAAAATATACTACTAAGGCTTCATCAGCCAAGAGGTAGGTGCAACAATCAGAAAGGTTTTTGGCAGAAGAGGGCTGATAGGACAATAAGCCAGAGGAACCAAGACTTAAGCAAAAAACTTAGAGGATGATTTAAAATAAATTGCAGTTAGAACATAAATATATAATAATAAAAACTGTGATGCCACTGATAAAAATTTTAATGTAACAATAATCTGTAGATGAGACTATCTTCTCAGATTGTCAAAAAATCGTCGAATCCATCGAAAGATTGAAATATT